TGGCCGTTTCGTCTGGGTCTCTAGTTTTATTTTCTTTTTTTCTTTCTTTCTCTTGGTTTTATTTAGTCTCGCTTTTCGAGTGACGGACACGGTCCTTCTGTTCATAGTCTGTAATAATCCCTTAACTTGTTAGAGCTTCGAACAGGAAGGAGAGAAGGAAAGGGAGAGAGAGAGAGAGGGGGGGGGGAGAGGGAAAGGGGGGAAGAGGTAGGTGAGAGAGAGAGAAGAGAGACAGAGAGAGAGAGGAACGAGAGAGAGAGAGAGAGAGAGAGAGAGAGAGAGAGAGAGGAGGGAGAGAGAGTGAGAGAGAGGGGAGGGTGATTAAGAAAAAAGAAGGAAACAAACAAAAAATTATAATAATAATAATCATAAAGACCACACAAAAGGTAAGTACAAGAAAGACTCATTATCCAAGAGATATTTATTAAACTTTACATATAAATGTAACATATTATAACACTTGTCACATAATATCTCACAGAGACACATCAACATATTGTAACTATCGAGGTTTTGTGTTTAATTCTTTTTTCACATCAAACTATTGGTCTAGTCAGCTGACTGCTGTTCTTAGAGACTGCTTAATCTATCACTAAAGTAGAATTAATAAATTGGCTTTCATTTTTTGTTAATTAATCAGTCTTTATTTACACGAACATACACATTTTTTGGTCTTCAACTTCCCCTAGTTTAATCAGAGTAACATGTTAGTGGAGATATATATATAAAATTTACACATATTTTTTCGGATTTGACGTCGATTTTTTATGTCAAGACTTTACGATATCTTTTATTTATATTTTTTTTCAGAATTGGGACCATTGTCTAGACTAGAACCGTCCCTCGAACGCCTAGGTCTGTCAGGTAGACCCCCAGGGCTTTAACCAAGCCCCTGGGACCACCGCTCTAACCTCGTTACCAGACTCTAGGTAGCTCTCGCCGGGGCCCCAGGGTGCTGTTCAAACCCCGAGTCCTTTGAGAGATGCTAGGCTCGTTCACTAGGTCTTTGGGCCTCCTGTGAGTTCTGGGAGACCCTGAAACTGGTGGTCAGACTTTAGAAGTTCTCTGTTGGTGTTTGTTGGTGTTACTGGGTGCGCTCGTAGGTGGTGTGACAGCTGGATGTATAAACGTGCACATGTGGTTTAAAGGAAAATTTGTCGGACTCCGGTTTGGAAAAAGGAGTTAAAAATAAGAAGAAGAAGAAAAAAAAGGATTAGTATAAGAATGTATCTGGTGTTGCTATTGACTTGATTGTTACTGTATTTGTAAAGAATGCGTCAGTGTTGTTATCAGTATCATTATCTATTTGTAGATATGGTATGTGTTATATGGCTAAGTCTTCTATCCAGTAGCTTTGTATGTCGAGTTGCAGCAGGTACTGTTATGTAAAAACTATGTATCCATGTATTAACGCAGATGACAACTCGGAGACGCAAATTTGGCTTTTATAGCGAGGGGACGAAGGGGTTGATTTTGGAAATTTACTTGACTCGTCTTCTAAGGATGGCGAAGGTGGGAAAGAGGAGAGGGAAGAGGAAAGAGGGTAATGAGAGGTTAATTAAAAGATGGAAGCCAAGGAGAGGGGCCTGAAACATGAGGAAGGAAAGGCGTGTTGTGCATATGGATTACTCAGGCGAAGGGGCGGAGGAAACGGGCGAAAAGGGAAGAATATTGTAATTAAGTAAATGAAGGAAATAATACCAGGGGGTTAAAATCGTGCGAGAAGGGAGCACAAGGGAGAGGGAAATAATAAAAAAAGGTGAAAATAAGGATAAATAAAAAAAAGGCGCAGAGAGAAAGAAAGAGAGGCAGAGAGAGAGAAAAATAAAAGTAGAAAGAGGAGAGAGTTATTGTGAGAGAGAGCGAGAGAGCGAGAGAGAGAGAGAGAGAGAGAGAGAGAGAGACCATAAAGGGAAAAAGGAAATAAAATCAAGATAAAGAAGGAAAGAGGTCACCTTCCTGAGCCTTGACCTTTCTGACCTCGCTATTGGGGAGGGATGGCGGGTCAGCGAGCGTGAAGGCGGAATCTGGTGAAAAAAAAAAAGAAAGAGAAAGATGAGTGAAAACGAGAAGAAGAAGAGGAGGAGGAGGAAAGAGAAGAAAAAAGTGGAGGAGGAGGAGGAAGAAGAAAAAGAGGAGGAAGAGCCAGAAGAAAAAGAGGAGGAAGAAGAAGAACCAGAAGAAAAAGAAGGGAAAGATGAAACGTAAGAGTAAAAGGAAGAAGAGGCTGATATGTAAAGAAAAAGAGAGGAAAGAGGAAACAAGAGAAAACGGGTCGCTGAGGAAGAGGAAAATATATAGAGAAGACAAATTATATAAGAAATGGAGGTAGATAATTTTTTCTTTATTTATTTTCATCGAGATGTACATGACAGGCCGGTTATGACAGACGGCAGGTTGACAGATTGGCGTGGATAATTTCTTGATGATTGACAGGCCGACGGGGTTAGGGGTTTGATAACTGATTGGTTGGTGAACTAAATTCCTAATAAGAGATACGTGAGGATTATCATTTGAATGAAAATGATGATTATCTAATAAAAGACGGGGGATGATAAACCTTTATTGAATTTGAAATGCAATGATGCTATTCGGATATGTTGCATTTAGACAAAATTAGCCTATTATCGATGAAAAATTATAAAGAAATAGAGAATTGTCTCTTAAACGGGTGAAAAGGTTAATTGTCTCATCAGATAAACATTGATAAATAACGCCATACAAAGGGAAATCAAAATAATTACACCATCAATAAACTGCTGAATAGAAATTTTCATTTATTCCGTCTTATGAGAGAGAAAAGGGAGAATCTACCTATAAACAGTTTCGAAAAAGGCATTCGATTCACGAGAGAGTTTCAAGAGTCACTGATATAAGTCTTGAAAGTTCAAGAGTCGATAAAGAGTGTAAAACCCGAGCCAGGCGTAAAAACAAGAAAATGTGGGAGGCGTAAGAGAGAAGAAATAAGTAGAAAGAAGGGAAGTTCAGGAAGAGGGAAAAAGAAAGGATATGTGTTGATAAGAAAAGGGTTTATTAAAACCGTAAGAGAAAATGAATGTATTAAAAATTAGGGAATATCTGAAAGCAGAAGAGAAAAGAGATCTGTAGAAAGAAAAGGGAGTTTAGAATGAGGAAAAGGCAAAAGTGAAAATTGTCTACATTGTGGGAGAGGGGAGGGTCGAAGGAGGGAAATGCACAAGACAGAAATAAGGTAAGGAGGAGGGACAGTAGAAAGAGGAAGCTGTAATAAAGAAGGGCAAGTTTAGGCGGCGGGGCATGAAAGAACAATTCTAGAAGGCGGGGCAAGGAAGCGGAAGTTTAGGAGGCGGGGCAGCAATCGGAGGAGGGGCGTGGTGAGGAAAGGGGCAAATCCAGGAGGCGGGAGAAGAAGGGGTCACGTATAGTAAGAAGGGCAATTTCAAAGGGAAAGTTAATTTAAGAGGCATGGAAAATTGTAGAATATTTTTTTGAAGGCTGGGGCAGTGTCCAAAGGAGGGGCAAGTTTCAGGAGGAGGTGCCGGACGTACGAGAAGAGGACCGGGTCAAAAAGAAAGAAAAAAAAGTGGTCATCCAAGACATCTAAACATCAACAGTAAATATATATTCATGTATATATATATCTTTAAGGTAAGCATCATAACATCTTGTAACATTTTTTTTATAACACGTCATAACACCTCTTTACACACATACATACAGCTCTCAATGGAGACCTTGGCAGATTTTGCTTTTTATTTGGATTAAACAGAAAAGAATAGAAAAAAAATACGAAGAAATATACACATTGACGACATAATTACCAGAAAAAAAAGTTTACCCACCGATCTCCCGCTCACACTCTCCTACACCTACGCTCTTAGGTAATGCATACTGACCATACCTACCCACACTTACGCCCACACTCGCCGTCCCCTTCCCACAGAGTCACCCATAGCCCGCCCACACTTACGGTGCAGTAAATCTCCCGCGTCTGCCTCCCCTCCCTCCCCCCTCCTACTCCCCTTCCTCTTCCCCTCGCTCTCATTTTCCGCCTGTTTCGTGGGCGAGAGAGAGAGGAAGGGGAAGAGGGGGATGATTAGTCATCCTCATTTTGAAAGACCTCTGATTCTTGTTTTAATTAATCATTCTTCTTTTGTTTTGTTTTGTTTTTATATAGATATATTCATCTTTTTTCTTTATACATCTACATCTGTTTGTATATACAGTTAAGTCTGCCCTTCTCGATCAATGAGAATCCGTTTTCTGTAATGCCCGAACACCTAAAGTATAGACTTCTTCCTTGAGTTCGCCAAGAGCTTTCTAATATAATGCATATCACACACTAATTTCCATAGGATTTATTATTTCTTTTTGTGTCAACAAAATCATCTTAAAAATATCAGTAATATCACAACCCTAAAGAAATACATTTCTCCAGTTCAACACAAGAAGACAGAAGTTCGTATCCTTTCTTTATCGAGAATTGTTCACGCTCGGCATAAAAGTTCGAGTCTGTTTCATCACTGAAGTGTCAAGGTTGATCATCTTATGCGGAGATGCAGGGAATCGCTTCACCTCCGCCAGGTACTGAACACATCATTGAAAAAGGCTGCCTCATTGTCTGTGTAACAAGTAGCCCACTTCACTTATATATTATGGAAAGCTCTTGTTCACTTGTACCTTTAAAATCCTTAAGCAATGTACACACTTGTAAACACGCGTTGCTACATTGGCAGTATGTAAACACCAGACTTGTTTATTTTCATGAATATCATATGAATCATATGTACTTTTATCACTTCATGTTTTGTTATATAAACAAGAACTTGGTAAGCAATCACACTCATTTAATTTTCTCCAACACTCTTCGATCTTTTTCTTTTTTACTTTGTTTTTTCTTACTTTCACTGACAACCAGCCTGGCGAGTCTTAGTCTTCTCTTTAGCGTCCTCGGCTGCCGTCAGCGTCGCCCGCCGACTATAATCCCTAAGGGTAATATCACTAGTTCTTCCGCCGAGCGATCAAGGGGGCGGGAAGTCCGAGTCGCCGAACAGGAAGGGCGGGTAGGCAGGCCAATTGTCCGGGAGGCTGAAGTACAGCTCGGGAGAGGTAGGCCTACTCTCTTCCTTCTTGGCAGAGGAGGAGGACGAGCCGTCTTTCTTACTCGAGGACTTCGAGGAGGACTCCTCGCTTGACGAGGGAGGAGGAGACTTCTCTTTCTCCTTCGTCTTCTCGTTCGTCGTGGGCTGCGAATGAGATTGCGGTGGTGAGGAGGAGGAGGTTTTCTCCTCCTTCGGACTGTAGGCCATTGCTCCTGGAGAAGTCGCTGAGGACGAGGAGGACTCGTCGTCCTTGCCATGCTGAGGTTGTGGCGGCGGACTCTCTGTGTGGATGTCGAATGGCGGCTGTGGAGGTGGACTCTCTGTATTGATGTGGAAGTGCGGCTGTGGCGGGGGGCTCTCGGGCTCCCTGCCATCCGTACTTGACAGAGGCGACCCTTCCGTGTCCGCCGCGCCCGAGCGATCTGACGGCGGCGACGGCGTTTTCAGTCTCTGATGCGGAGGCGACGGGCTGTCATGTGTGCTGTCAGAGTGTGACTGCGGCGACGGGCTCTCCTGTATTACGCTCAACTGCGGGTGTGTCAGCAAACATCTATGCTTGTGCTCGGCCACGGGCTGGACGTCGGGGTACTGCACCTCACTCTGAGGAGGAGGCGAGACGTCGTGCCGGATCTCGGTATGCGTCGGTGACACGGGCGCCGTGTCTTCCCCTGTGGGCGGCGAGAGTGATGGTGAGCTCTCCGCGTCGAAGAATTTCGGCAACGGCGGAGGCGTCGGAGCTACAGCGTCTTCGTCGTCGTCGTCGTTTTCAAAGAACTCCGGAATAGGAGGCGGCGTCGGAGGGTTCTCACTGTCTCTCCCTTGCACTGGCGTGCTTCTCGCCACGTCAGGAACCTCGCACGCAAATCGGACGCGGTGGTCCTCGCGGCTCGCCAGCAATGGTTGGGTGTTGTCGTACACACTGCGCGGAGTCTCGGCCTGGGCTCTGGGGTTGCTGTATGAAGTGCGCGGCGTCTCGGGCTGGGTTCTGGGGGTGTCGTACACCTCGGAGTCTAGAGTGAGAGGGAAGGGCGGGGTGACGGCTCTCTGCGTCACCAGCTCACGGACGTCCCCTGACCTCGGGGAGAGCGGGGAGTCCTGGTCAGTGAGGTTGGGGAGAGGAGGTGATGGGGATGAATTGTAGAGGATGAGTGAGGAGCTGTCCTGCTGGGAGGTGTTGGTGGAAGAGGAAGACGTGGTGGACTGGCCGTACAGGGATGAGTTAGGAAGCCTGAAGGTGTTGGGGGACGCAGGGGGAACAACAGGGCGAGGGGCGTGGTGAGAAATGGCATCGTACTGCAGTTTTGCTGGAGAGAGCATGATGACACTTGCTTGGCTGGGAGAAGACGCTGAGGATTGTCGATGGTCACCCGACGAAGGCGAGGCGGCAGAGCGCGGCGACACTGATGTCTGACGTTGCAGGTCATTTACATACACCCACCGGTAGTCCGTGGGTGGCGAGGGCGTCCTCTCAAACCGACGGACTCCAACTGGCGATGCTGGCTTGTCATAGTGACGAGCTCCAAGAGGTGATGGCGGCCTCTCGTACCTACGATTTCCATTCGGCGAGGGTGAACGGTGAGCTTTCTGGTGAGCCTCCGATACGAGCTTCACCACAACAGGAGCCTCGCCATGTCGTGGTGACATGCCACAACGGAAATTCGGTGGCGGTGAAGGGGAGTTCTGTTGCTCTAGACCATTTGGCGAAGAGGAGCCGCCTGAGGGCGATGGGTGAGGCGGACGAGGGTGCGGGGGGGACGACTCGGGGCGGAGGTGAGACAGAGGGAGAGTCGCCGTGTTGTGGTGGTGGTCTCCCGGCGGGAGCGGGGAGGTCTCGTGCCGGAAGTCGGGCGGCGGCGAGGGCGAAATCTCGTGCAGATACTCTCGCGACGGGGAGGAGCCTGTGCTGCTCGGACTGCTGGGCGGAGCAGGGAAGCAGGTCGGCCACTCCATCTCCTCTAAGGGTTTGTAGGACTCTTGCTTGCCACTCGTGATGCTTTTGCTGTCTTCTGTCTCCTCGTCATGACTCACCTTCGTCAGACTCCAAGAAGGACTGTTGGCCTTATCAGAGGAAGGACTCAAAGCTGGCTTCTCGTTCTCACGAGCCTTGAGGTGCATCTTCTCCTTCTTGGGACTAAGCAGTGGTGGGGGACTGTGTGTCCCATTGGACAGTCGGACCCCTGGGTTGTGAGCCCCATTAGGCAGCCGAAGATCAGGTAGACGTCGAACCCCATTGTACTGGTACGCAGGGGTATTCCTCGTGCCATTGTGTGCAAGCCGCGGTCGGCCACCGTCATTAGACTGGCCATGGCGAGAGGAATTCCAGCCATTGATGAGCGCAGCAAGACGACCAAGAAGTGCAGCCAGCCCCGGGGGAGCATCGTCCCCACGGGGCGCGTATTGTCAGACGGTCGTTTCGAAGTCCACATCAATGCAGTCAGGGTATTCAGGTGGTTCCGGAGGCGACTCGTGGTGGCCGGGTGTGAGAACCTCCTCGCTGCAGCCGGTGGAGCTGCGGCCGCGCCGGGACTTCCACAGAGTCCAGCCCCACCAGCTCGAGAGCACGGAGACGCAGCCGACAGCTAGCCCGAAGGCTAGCCAGAGCCAAGGTGATAGGGCCATAAGGCACGTCACCACAGCCTCGTCGGCACCCGAAGGACAGTGCCATGTGCCATCACAAAAGAGTGAGGCACTGATGCAAGCATGTACTGCAGGACATTCTGTTGCACATCGAGTTGCAAGCCATCGTGGTGCTGCTTCCACCCACTGTACATCCACAGCTTTGTGTTGCTGCTGTGAAGACTGGCCTGACAGGTATGCAGGTCGGCTCAGTAAGACCACGACGAGGGATCGTGCAGCTTCTCCGAGATAGTCTAGGGAAAGGGGCTCATTGAACCCTTCCGAGAAAACATGCACGGTCTCTGCAGAGCCTGGGGAGACACACACGGCACTTAGAGGCCTTGGATTTCCTGGCTGATATACATGTAGCTCAGAACTCTGGCACTCTGCGGGAGGCATGGGATCTTCTGTAGCTACCAGCCGCCCATGAGCTATACCTTGCAAGCCACCTCTGATTGCACGACCTGGCACTGACACCAATAGGAAGTGATCTGAGGCCGGTTGAAGGAGCCAGGGGTGGCCACGACATGGCCCTGGAGAAGGGCGCAGAGCTAGGCTTAGAGTGCCTGCCTCCCCCGTCACAATGCGGTCTTCCTCACATGCTTCCACTTCCACAAACTCATATTCCAGTTCAAAGTTGAAATGTGAAAAGTCATCGAAGACATCCATACCAATGACGGTGAAGGTGATGGTAACAGAGGCGGAGTAGGACAGTAGGGTTGCAGGAAGGTACAGGCCATTGCAGATGCAGGCTTGGGGAAGCTCCACACCCGGCCACGGCCACTCTGATACCTCTAGCCTTGCACCTCTACCTTCCAGCGCCTTTGGACGTCCACACGCCTGTAAGGGGGAGTCCCGGCCCGGACACGAAGAGTTATGGGCATAGAAGTATATGAAGGTAATCCTAACAGCTTCATTGGGTTTGCCTTGCAGGTGATACTTGCACTTGAGACTTGTGGCCCCGAATTTTCCGTAAAGGAGGTTGTTGGCCGGTGACGTCAGCAGCCCTTTCTTGCTACGTTCACTGTTAATTTGTCTGTCACAGGGCTCAGGGCGATTCAGGGCAGCTGCTCGAGGACCTGCATACACGAATTCATAATGAAGCCGGAATTGAAGATTCGAGACCGTCGACGGTGACACATAGTGGATGGTGAGAGTGACATGCGAACCTTTTGTCAGATAGCTCTCAGTGCTTCCACAAGGTCTTGTCCTGTTGCGTCCAGGGCCAAGCTGCTCCCTGTGGCACACTCGTACCCCCATCGGCCCACAGGTGTTCTCCAACACATCGCCATCTTCCTCGACGCCTTCTATCAACGTGACACGAGTCCGGCAGGGTGGGCCGTCTATGGAAGGCGGCTGAGTGTCAACTCCCTTGAGGCGCGTGAAGTACAGCCAGACGACCTCGTCTGGGCGCCCGCGGAACTTGTAAGAGCAGTTGCTGTTACTTGGCAGTGAGTGAGCAACATTCTCAAAATGGCCACGGGCAGCTTCGAAGCTCGAAATTTCAAACTCACACTTCTGGTCTGCATACAGAAAGGAATTTTTGGGCACGAAGACAACGCCGACATCCAGTTCGAAGCCAGGGTGAGTGTTAACAGAAGGATCGAAGTACATGTTGTCAAAAGGGGAAGTCTGGAAGACAAGAAGCAGCTCAGCCCCACTGGCTGTAATGTGGGGGACCTTCCCGCCGCCGCAGAACCTCATGAGGAGTCTGCGTGTCTCTCCCTGAATCTCGTAGATGCTGAGAGTGTCGCCCACGACGTCGCACTCCTCGTCAAGCCACAGCTGCAGGTTGTCGTCGCAGGAGGCGTCGGTGTGCTTGATATGGACGCGTCCTCTCTCGGCCTGGCCCACGCTGACGAGGGCATGGCGACCATGGGGCACCGTGGCCTGGCGAATCACGTACTGGCAGGTCAGATTTCGAGGGTAGAGTCCGGGGTAGTTGGGTGACTGCACGCGGCACTTGCGTCGGTCGCACGAGTCGAACACCCTGTCGCAGATTGTGTCGGGGCGGTGGACACCCAGGTACTTGGCGCTGTTCCAGGGCCCGTACCTGACGATGGACTCGGCGCTCAGCAGGAACTTGTAGAAGAGGCGCAGCCTGATCTTCTTCTCGCCATGCGTCTCCTTCTTGGCCGGAGGATCATTGACGGAGACGGTGACTGTGACGGTGTTGGTCTCGCTATAGTACACGTTGTGCGTGTTGGTTCCGCCGCACCAGTTGCCGCCGATCTTGCCGCGGTGAGGCTCTTCGATGCTTAGGTGGCCCTTGGGGCAGCCGCACACGTGGTGCGACTTGAACG